AGAAAGATGATTAGAAAAATATGAACGAGACAAACCCCCAAAAACAACTAGATGAAGAGAAAGAGTAAAAATCCTGGGAGATTTTGATGTGAAGTAAAGATGAAGAATAAAGCGAAGAATGAACAAAACAAACAGCAGCCTTTTTTTTTTTCCAAAACAAGATCAACCAAGACTTCAACAAACTAATAAAAACTCAATTCCTTAATTCAATAAAATGACAGATGGAAAAGCATTAAGCAGATGACAATGAAATCCAGAGGGTTATTAAGAAGCTCTTTGAAAATCTTGAAAAAAAAAATCTAGGAAAAAATGGGCAAATCTCCTGCATGTCTAAACTACCAAAATTAAATCATGATGATATAAACAATTTATACAGAGCCATATTGAGCAATGAGATTAAAATGTCACAATGAGCAACTGATGCAGAATTCCTCCAATTATTTTTTTTTTAATGTTTCAGAGAAAACCTAATACTATGCTCCAGAATACCACAGACAAAAATTCCCAAGCGAACATGTTTGTAAAATGTCTCAAAATAGTTACAAACTGAGTTAACAAAGCAGAAAGTTCCTATGATGATCAAGTTGGTTTCATCCCAGGAGTACAAGGATGGTTAAACACATGGCAATCAATAAAAGAAACGCAGCACATAAACAGACTCCCAGACAAGGCAAGACTGTCCACTGTCCCCATATCTTTTCAACATAGTACTTGAAGTCCTAGCTAGCACAGTAAAACAAGTAAGGGAGATCAAGGGGATACAAATCGGAAAGGAAGAAGTCAAAGTTTCACTATTTGCAGATGATATGATAGTATACCTGAATGACCCAAAAAACTCAACCAGAGAACTTCTTCAGCTGATAAAAACCGTCAGCAAAGTGGTGGGATACAAAATTAACTCAAAAAAAATCAGAAGCCCTTCTGTATACCCAAGACAAAAGGGCCGAGAAAGAAATCAGGGAAACAACACCCTTCACAATAGCCACTAATAACATAAAGTACCTTGGGGTGACTCTAACCAAGCAGGTGAAAGACCTGTTTGAAAAAAACTTCAAACTTTCTCTGAAGAAAGAAATTGAAGAAGACATCAGAAGATGGAAAGATCTCCCATGCTCATGGATTGGTAGGATTAACATAGCGAAAATGACCATCCTGCCGAAAGCAATCTACAGATTCAATGCAATTCCCATCAAAATACCAACACATTTCTTTACAGACATTGAAAGAAAAATTCTCAACTTCATATGGAGAAACAAAAAACCCACAATTTCCAAAATAATCCTGTACAAAAACAGATCCTCTGGAGGCATCTCCATCCCTGATCTCAAGTTGTACTACAGAGCAATAGTAATAAAAACTGCTTGGTACTTGCATAGAAACAGAAATGTGGATCAATGGAACCGAATAGAAGACCCAGAAATAAACCCACACACCTATGAACATTTGATTTTTGACAAAGATGCTGAAACCATTCAATGGAAAAAAGATAGCATCTTCAACAAATGGTGCTGGTCCAACTGTATGTCTACATGCAGAAAAATGAAAATAGGTCCATATTTATCACCTTGCACAAAACTAAAGTCCAAGTGGATCAAAGACCTCAATATAAAACCAGATACTCTAAATCGGTTAGAAGAAAAAGTGGGGAAAACCCTAGAACTCATTGGCACAGGAGACAACTTCCTGAACAGAACACCATCAGCACAGGCCCTAAGAGCAACAATCAATAAATGGGACCTCATGAAACTGAAAAGCTTCTGTAAAGCAAAGGACACTGTTGTCAGAACAAAACGATAGATAGCCTACAAATTGAGAAATGATCTTCACCAACCCAACATCTGACAGAGGGCTGATATCTGGAATATATAAAGAACTAAAGAAGTTAAAAGGCAATAATTCAAGCAACCCAATTAAAAAATGGGGTATGGAGCTAAACAGAGAATTTTCTGTAGAAGAATATAGAATGGCAGAGAAACACATAAGGAGATGTTCAACATCCCTAGCCATCAGAGAGATGCAAATCAAAACGACCCTGAGATTTCACCTTACACCCATCAGAATGGCTAAGATCAAAAACTCAAGAGACAACACATGCTGGAGAGGTTGTGGAGAAAGGGGAACCTTCCTCCATTGCTGGTGGGAATGTAAACTGGTACAATCACTATGGAAATCAAAGCACTATGGTGCTTTCTCAGACAATTAGGAATAGTGCTACCTCAAGATCTAGCTATACCACTCCTAGGCATATATCCAAAAGATGTTCAAGTACACAACAAGGACATTTGCTCAACCATGTTTGTAGCAGTTTTATTCGTAATAGCCAGAACCTGGAAACAACCCAGATGTCCATCAACGGAGGAATGGATAAAGAAATTGTGGTACTTTTACACAATGGAATACTACTCAGCAAATAAAAACAAGGAAATCATGAACTTTGCAGGCAAATAGTGGGATCTAGAAAAAATCATCCTGAGTGAGATATCCCAGGAGCAGAAAGAGACACATGGTATATACTCACTTATAAGTGGGTACTAGACCTATAAGATAGGATAAACATACTTAAATATGTACACCTAAAGAAGATAAACAAGAAAGAGGACCAGGGGTAATATGATCAATCCTTATCTAGAAAGACAAAGGGGATGGACATTGGAAGTAAGAGAAAACAAGTAACAGGACAGTAGCCTACCACAGAAGGCACCTGAAAGACTCTACCTCGCAGTGTATCAAAGCAGATGCTGAGACCCATAACCAAGCCTTCGGCAGAGTGTAGGGAATCATATGAAGGAAGGAGGAATTAGTATAACCTAGAGGGGACAGGGAGCTCCACAAGGTCCAAATATATCTGGGCACAGGGGTCTTCTGTGAGACTGTTTATCCAACCAAGGACCATGCATGGATATAACCTACAACCCCTGCTCAGACATAACCCATGGTAGCTCAGTATCCAAGTGGGTTCCCTAGTAAGGGGGACAGGAATTGTTTCTGACATGAACTCAATGTCTGGCTCATTGAGCTTCCCCTCCCCCCTGAGGGAGGAGCAGCCTTGCTAAGCCACAGATAAGGACATTGCAACCATCCTGAAGATACCTGAAAAGCCAGGGCCATATGGAAGGAGGAGAGGAGGACAGCCCCTTCAGTGGACTTGGAAGGGGGCAGGGAGGAGATGAGGGAGGGAGGGGAGGATTGGGAGGGAAAGAGGGAGAGGGCTACATCTGGGATACAAGTGAATGTATAAAATTATTTAAAAATAAAAATATTAAAAAAAACCAGACTCCCAGATCCTAGCACATTAAAAATAAATATTTCAGAAATAAATTTTAAAAATAGAGTGAGAGCAGAAATCACATGATCACCTCAATGGATTCAAAGGAGATCTTTGGCAGAGACTACCCTCCATTTCACGTATGAAAGCAATCACACATACAAAGGGCATGCTTCAACATAACAAAGTCTACATATGACGAACCTGCAGCCAGTGTTACACTGCTTGGGGAAAGACCAAATGCATTCCTTTTTAAATCAGGAATGTTGGAAGAGTGCCCACTCCCTCCATTCTGTTCAGTGGTCTGCTTGAAGTCTTAACAAGAGAACTCAATGCAAGAGGGGAAAAGTAAATTTTAAAAAAGTTAAATTATCCCTACTTGAAATACCAAGCTGAGCATAGAGGTGCAGGACTGTAATCTCGGTACTGGGAGGCGAGGCAAGACAACTAATGTAAATCTGAGGTCAATCTTGACTACCTAGTAATAGGCCAGTGAGGGCTACATAGCAAGCCCTTGTCTGAACAAACAAACAAACAAAACCACAATAGAGAAATACCAAATCAACCCACTGGGTTTTCCACTAAGGTAGAAAGGCTGGCAGCCACTCAGCAAATAGAAGTGGGGAAATTTGACAGTCACATGCAGAAGAATGAAACTTTCTTCTTCTAAACTTTTCTCCATATAAACAACTATGAGTTTTGTATGGGTCAAGAATGTTAGGACCTGCAGCATAGAAACCGCTTAAGCCAACCCAGAAATAACACAAATTCTCGGCACAGCCCCAGCCTTACGGAAGGACTCTACTATCTTGAGGAACAATAGCAAGGTCTGTCACGTGGGATTGCACAAGGCGGAAAAGCTTCACGTGGCCCAGGAAACATCAACAGAGTCATGAGGCAGTGTGCACAAAGAGGCAACCTTTGTCCGCTATATGTAATAATAGGGGATTAAAGTCAAGAATACATAGAGACTCAAAAGATTGACTGCTTAAATCCAGATCAGCTAATCCATAATTGGGAAGATGAACTAAAAAGCATAATGTCCAATAATTATTTGAACACAAATCAACATTTTTGGTCATTAAGAAAGTTCAAATCAGAACCACATTGAGGTTGCATCCTACAATCTCAATAAGAGACAATTAGGAAATGAATTATATGCTGGGCATGGTGACACACATTTGAAGGCAGAGACAGGCAGTGCTCTGTAAATTTGAAGCCAGCCTGGTACACAGCAAATTCCAAGGCCAGTCAAGACTACATAATGAAACCCTGTCTTAATGCACTCATGTGTGTGTGTGTGCACACGAGCACGCGCACACACACACACACACACACACACACACACTTGCACAAATTCCCTTTCACATGATCATGACATACATATGTGGCTTGAAAATAAGAGGGACTCTGGAGATTAATTTAGGGGACTTAGGAGGATGATGTAAGACATGGTATGTGTACCAAAGAAGAGCAAACTTTGGAATATTCATGTGTAAAAAAAACATAACAAAACTCACTATTTTATACAATAAAAGAAAAGGTTAAAAAAATAAGACTGAGCCCTATCCTCAGTCCAGACTCTTCCTTGGCCCTTATCCAAAGTACCATAGATACTTTCATATCTCCTATCTTTTATTCCTTTATTTTCTTTTTCATCTTTCTTCTCTACTGTGGATTAGAGTAGGATACTTGTGCATGCTAAGCAATTGTTCTACCACCATGCTGCCGTCATTTACAAGCCCTTTATATAACTCACGACAGCATTCATGATGCTCAAGGAACAGGGAAATGAGAAAGACTTCTTATCAAACAAAACAACGCATCTGTGAAAGCCATCTTCCACATGGTGCCAGGTCACAGGGATCCCCTGGTCTTCCAAGCACTTCTTGTAGAGCAAGGCATTATCCCAGATAAGGTCCCAATGAAGGGTCACCAGGAATGCCTCAGGAAGCTGAGAAATGATTTTGTCATCTGCTGTGAGGGGAGAGATGTCTATATTCATTGTGTGTTTGTTTTCTAAATAAGCAGCCTCATTAAAAGGTGCAGGTGCCTCAGGTTGCTGGTTTTCACTCCTGAACCTTTTAGGGATGTAGTTAGGGCTTAGCCATTTCCCACACTTCTTCCAGGCACTTGGGGACATACTGGTACCTGTCATCATGGCATCTTTCCAGGAGCAGCCAAAGGCCAGGTATTTACAAATAAAGGTAACCATTAAAGCTTTAGTACGGAGTGGGACATTTAGTGCAGATGTGATGTGAGGGGACTGGAAGCAGTGCCCGGAGGACTGGATAAATCAGGACCTGAGCCCAGACCTGGGGGAGACCTGGTCTGCCTACCAAGGTGTGAGTGATAATAAATGGCCCTACCTCCGAGGCTGTCTCCGAAGACCACAACCTGGAAGGGGTCCACACTGTAGGATTTCAGAGACTTCAAGAAGTGAATAGACGCATTCAGGCAATTGTGATAAATGGAAGAATGATGACAATAGGGAAACTTTTGGTACCTACACAAGGAAACAGCACATCAGTGTGTGTGCAGGAATTGTGGAGGCTTTTTTAATTGCACCCTCTACTCACCCAAGGGTCTACTTGATTTAATCTTCTGCATTTCCCTAGCAAGACAGGCATCCCTCTTTTCCTGTATGTGAGTTTGAAGAAGCTGCCAAAAGTCAGAGTTGCTGGAATTCTCTATTCAAACTCATATTTTGATTAGATACTGTTGACTCACCACAAAAGTTAGAAATTATCATCTTTGAATCTAGAACAAGGGCCAGAGAGATGGCTCAGCATTAGAGACTAGGTTCACCACCAAAAGTATAAAGATGGAACAAACTATAATGACAGAAAAGAGGCAACTGAAGGTTTGGCTAGTCCCACACCTGCAAGGTGAAGAAAAGAAGGATGAAATCAGGTGTAGCTGCTTTCATTTATAGAAGGGAAAGGAGAAGTGAAGAGATGTGAAGGGATGAGAGGGGAAGGGAGTGAAGAAAAAAGTGAGAGGAGGAAAGATAAGGTAGGAAAGGAGAGGAGGAGAGGAGAGAAGAGATGAGAGGAGAGCTCTTTCGTGTCCAGCATTTCCCGGCGTCTCTCTCAGGCACTGTACACTAACGCCCTTGACAGTGCTAAGCCCCTGGTCCTGGCCTGTATTAAAAAGCTAGCTAAGTGTGAGCCTCTGAGCAAGCCAGCAAGCAATATGCTTGTAGTTTCTGCTTCAAGATTTGGTAGAGTTCCTGCCCTGACTTCCCTCAGTGATGAACTGTGACCTGAAAATGAAAGCCAAATAAACATTTCCACATTTCCTCCTCTAAGTTGCTTTTAGTCAGAGCATTTTATCACAGAGACAGAATGCCAACTAGGACAGTGGGGTTTTTTTGTTTTTGTTTTTGTTTTGTTTTTTTAACAATGCAATGAGGACCTGCAGGGCCATCACCCGGCAATGACTGGGGCCTTCAAAGTGATTTCCAGCCACCCTCTACTGCTCTCCCATAATCCTCCAGGCCTCCGCTAAAGGAAGGGCTCTCATAAGTGTGTCCCATCAGTCTTTCTTCTTTTTATTATGTCATTGACTCTCTTTATTAAGGAGACATTTGCTTTTTTAGTTTATTTTTAATGGTGCATGCACTCGTGTGCATCATGCATGCATCTGGGGCCTCAGGGCCCCAGAAAGGGGTGTTGGCTCCCTTAGATCTGGAATACAGGCAGTTGTGAGTGCTAGGAACTGAACTGAGGTCGTCTGCAAGAGTGGGCTGGAGAGATGGCTCAATGATTTACAGCATTGTCTGCTCTTCCAGAGGTCCTGAGTTCAATTCCTAGCAGCCACATGGTGCTTCACAATCATCCATACTGGGATCTGGTGCCCTCTTCTGTATATGCAGGTAGAGCACTCATATATGTAAAATAAATAAATAAATAAATAAATCTTTAAAAAGAGAGAGAGAGAGAGTGGTACATGCTCTTAACTCCTGAGCCATATCTCCAGCCCTAGACAACATTCTATTGATTTTAAGTGTTTTAACTTCATATAGAAGTTATTAAGCTACTCATTTTTGAAGATATTTTCCTTAATTTTATGGTGTTATGATCCTTTTATCTTGGCATACCTTCATGGTTCTCAATAGTTGCACAATATTTTTGTTTTTCATTGTTCAGATGACCCCTTAAAACTAAAATGTTCAATCCCCATCCTGAAAGGCAAAGAGGATGGACATCAGAAGAAAAAGAAAATAGGAAACAACCTCGGAACCTGCTACAGAGGGCCTCGGAAAGCCAGAAGAAAACAGGAAACAACCTTGGAACCTGCCACAGAGGGCCTCTGAAAGCCTCTGCAGTATAGACTGTCAAAGCAGATGCTGAGCCTGATGGCCAACTGATGGGCAGAGTGAATGGAATTTTATGTAAGAAGTGGGAAATAGTAAGAGCTGGAGGCGACGGGAACTCCACAAGGAGAGCAACAGAACAAGATAATTTGAACACAGAGAACTTCCCAGAGACTCATACTCCAACCAAGGACTATTCGTGGAGATAACCTAGAACCCCTGCACAGATGTAGCCCATGACAGTTCAGGGTCCAAGTGGGTTACATAGTAATGGGAAGAGGGACTGCCTCTGACATAATCTGATTGGCCTGCTCATTGATCACCTCCTCCTGAGGGGGGAGCAACCTTACCAGGCCACGGTAGAGGACAATGCAGCCCCTTTTGATGAGAACTGATAGACTAAGATCAGAAAGGAGAGGAGAACCTCTCCTATCAGTAGACTTGGGGAGGAGCATGCATGCAGAAAGGGGAGGGAGGGTGGGATCGGGAGGGGAGGAGGGAGGGGCTTATGGGGGGATACAAAATGAATAAAGTGTAATTAATAAAAAAATTTTTAAAAAGTACCTTCACAAAAAAAAAAAAAAAAAAAGACTTTCTTGTTCAAATCTTAGTGCCCAAGTGGTTGAGCCAGTCATTGTGAGATTGCTGTACCATAAAGCTTCTGGCATTATTAATGGTGCAATTACTGATAGGATTCATAATTTGATTTCATTTTCCAGGAATTATCACTGGTTCGAAAGTAAGCACTTCCACTGGGCCATCTTGCCAGCCCACTTAGCCAGCGAGAACTAAGTGAAAAATAGAACAGAAAGAAACTGTAGACACAAAGGATGTGGTTAGGTAGTTTAGCACCTTTAAAAACAAATCAAAGGGCTAGAAAGATAGCCTAGTGGGTAAGAGTGCTTGCTGCTCAATCATGAGGACCAAAGTTTGGATTCCAGCACCAACTGTGGGTGTCTTGCAAATGCTTATAGCCCCAAGGGATCTGATGGCCTCTTCTGGCCTCTTTGCACACCTCCAACCACATGTGTGCATGTACTCACAGATACACACATGTGCGTGCGCGCGCACACACACACACACACACACAAATATCTTAAAATAAATAAATGAAAACAAACAAATCAAATGTTTCATACTGGGACAGAGGAAAGGGTCCTCCAGGGCATCTTAGATATTGGACAGACCTCTCTCAGGACACACACCGGGATAAAACTGTAAACTCATTTGAAAGGCTTTTTGCTTCAGACCATAGTACTGCCAGTGTGCCTGCTTGCCCTGGTCCACCTAGAAAATTGCCATTCCCAGATTTATTTCCTATGGCTAGTTGCACGGACTCAGAGTCCATGTTGTAAGGGAGCCTGGCTAGTGTTGGAGCTGGCGGCAAGCCAGGCATCACCCTCGTGATACTGAACATGGAAGCATGTAAAAAATAGTCACTGGGTTATGGGGGCTCCCATCTGGGCTCAAGGTAAGCCTAGAAGGCAAAGTGAAGTGTAAGACAGTGGGGGTACCCACACCATGCCCATGAGAAGAAATATGTAAGCCTGTGAGGTGAGAGCTAAGCTCCAGTGGAGACCAAAGGAAATGGAAGTTGCTAGGAATTTGAACAATATGCCGAAGAACACCACAGGCATAGAACACATGAAGGCTAAGAGAGAAGGCACATGGACTTCAGCCAGCAGGGGTATAGAAGCCCCACTGCTCGAATCCTTTGAAAATAAAACCATAGCACCATGTGCCAGGTAAGGGCATGGACCCCATTTGCCGTGATGTGTTCTTGTCTTTCTTGACCCTAGCTTGTTCCTCTACAACACCAGTTCTCCATTTTGTGAAGGAAGCTGTTTGCCCTGTGCCATTGTATGTTGAAAGAATGCAACTTGCTATTTTAATTGTGTGGCAATTCACAACTGAGAATTGGGCCACGTTTCAGAAGATTTTGGAGCTGAACCTCTGAACAGCAACTGGAACTGTTAAACACAGGGACTCCTACACTAGGAGTTGGCCATGATCCTTGGATGTGCAGGGATGGGATATTGTTGTATAGATATAAAGTATCCCTCAAAAACGTTTATGTTGGCAACTTGTTCCCCAGATATGGATCAAATCACTGGACTTCTATATAAGTATATATAACTGGACTGTAGAACTCTGACATCATTGATGGCATAATTCATTCATGGATTCACAATTTGATAGCATTATTGGAATGAGGGCCTTATTGTAATATCTGGACCTCTGGGGTGCATGTCTTTGAACGGTATCTTGTCTCTGCCCCTTCTTTCTTTGCTTCCTGGCTACTACAAGGTGAGCACATTTGGTGTGTTATGTCCTCTTACTTTGAGACTATTCTACCTTATAGAATAGCAATGGAACACGTTGGATATAGACTAAATTAAATTTCTGGAACTGGTAGGCAAAATAACTTTTTTTCTTCTTTAGGTTATTTCTTTGGGGTTTGCAAAAGCATAAAAGTGTGCAAATAAGAGTAATTAATTTTCACCATGGCTAGCCCACTCACTCTCCCCATGATGCGTGGCTTTCCAGGCCTTTTCTTATTTGTGCGATGTTATGTCCACATGTGAGAGTTTCTCTAGGGACAAAGCCATCTAGGACTGCCTCTCCTTGTGTTTCCCCTGCTCTGTGGATAAGCCACCCACCATCTGAGACCACTCACCCCACTGGCAGCAACACTGAGTCTGTCTCTAGAGCCAGGAATGTGCACAGGTTGTGGTAAGCGTCTGCAAGAGAAGCTGGGGCTCTGTGTACCGCATGGGGAGGGTCCAGAAATCCCCACCACAGCCCCAGGAAAGCAGCTGGTGGGGGGGGTCCACAGACTGACATCTTTGCTTCTAGTTTTGCCTCCCCTAAAGTGACTCGGGCAAAGCCAGGCAAGCAGACAACCTGCCTCAATTTCTTGACTGTTGGGAGTACAAGTAAACTGGGAGTTCACCTCCTGCATACTTTGATTTTAAGGTGGGGAAACTGAAGAGCAGGGTGTTTTAAGGATCTAAATGAACAAAGCCAAGGATAGGCGTGTTTGGTGAATTAACCTGGGACTATTTAAAACTAGACACGCTAATCCTGTTAGAAGAAAAAGTGGGAAAAAGCCTTGAACTCATTGGCACAGGAGACAACTTCCTGAACAGAACACCAACAGCACAGGCTATAACATCAACAATCAATAAATGGGACCTCATGAAACTGAAAAGCTTCTGTAAAGCAAAGGACACTGTCAATAGAACAAAATAACAGCTTACAGACTGGGAAAGGATCTTCACCAACCCTATATCTGACAGAGGGGTAATATCCAGAATATATACAAAACTTAAGAAGTTAAATAGCAACAAATCAAGTAATCCAATTAAAAAATGGAGTACAGAGCTACACAGAGAATTCTCAACAGAGGAATATAGAATGACAGAGAAACACTTAAAGAAATGCTCAACGTCCTTAGTCATCAGAGAAATGCAAATCAAAATGACCCCAAGATTTTATCTTACATAATCAGAATTGCTAATATCAAAAACTCAAGTGATAACACATGCTGGAGAGGATATGGAAAAAGGAGAACTCTCCTCCATTGCTGGTGGGAATGTAAACTTGTACAACTACTTTGGAAATCAATCTGATGCTTTCACAGGAAATTAGGAATAGTGCTACCTTAAGATTCAGCTATACCACTCCTAGGCATATATCCAAAAGATGTTCAACCATACAAGAACATTTTCTCAACTATGTTCATAGCAGCTTTATTCGTAATACCCAGAATCTGGAAACAACCTAGATGTCCCTCAACCAAGGAATGGATACAGAAATTGTGGTACATTTACACAATGGAATACTACTCAGCAAATAAAAACAAGGAAATCATGAAATTTGCAGGCAAATGGATGGGACTAGAAAAGATCATCTTGAGTGAGGTAACCCAAAAGCAGAAAGACACACAGGGTATATACTCATTTATAAGTGGATATTAGCCATATAATATAGAATAAACATACTAAAATCTATAGTCCTAAAAAAGCTAAACAACAAGGAGGACCCTAGGGAAGATGCTTAATCCTCACTCAGAAAGGCAAACAGTATAGACTTTAGAAGCAGGAGAAGACAGGGAGCAGGGCAGGAACCTACCACAAAGGGCTTCTAAAAGAATCTATCCAGCAGGATATCAAAGCAGATGCTGAGAATCATAGCCAAACCTTGGGCAGAGTATAGGAAACCTTATGGAAGAAGGGGGAAACAGAAAGACCTGGAAGGGACAGGAGAACCACAATCTGGACGGGGTGGGGTGCATAGACTGATGAATCAACCAAGGACCATGAATGGAGAGGACCTAGACCCCCCTGCTCAGAGAAGGCAGTTCAGTCTCCATGTGCATTTCCTAGTAAGGGGTCCAGGGCTGTCTCTGACATGGACTCAGTGGCTGGCTTTTTGATCACCTCCCCCTACCCCATGGTGGTAGCCTTGCCAGGCCACAGAGAAAGACAGTGCAGCCAGTCCTGATGAGACCTGATAGGCTAGGGTCAGATAGTAGGGGAGGAGACCTCTCCTATCAGTGGACTAGAATAGGGGCATAAGGAGAGAAAAGGGAGAGTGGGACTGGGAGGAAGATGAAGGAGGGGACTACAGCCAGGATTCAAAGTGAATAAATTGTACTTCTAAAAAGAAAAAAAAAGAATTTTTATATAATGACCTGAGTGTGGTAGCCTATGCTTGTGATCCAGCTCTTGGGATATGGAATTCAAGTCATTATCAACCACATAGCAAGGGAAAGGCCAACCTGAGCCAAAAGAGACCCTGCCCCAAAAAAGATTCATAAATTTATTTGATTACAAAACAAATGATGAGTAGATAGGTAATTTGGATTACCATGGTGGTGCATTTGGAGTTCTAAGAGGCAGGTCCCGTGGCATTAGCATATAGCATACCCTTTCTCAGGTCCAGGACAGAACTCTCCTTTTACTTTGCCCTTTCCCTGGCCATTGTTGTATAGGGACCCTTATCAGTCTGTGGTTATCTTATGTCCAGGCTGCCACAATTTCTGAGCTGGGGCAAGCAAGCACTATGATTCTCTAAATGACACCAGATAATTCTAATATTGGGGGTACATACCAGTTACATTGTAGAGCAGAGAATGAAAGCAGACTTGGAGGCCAGAGCTCCTGGGGTCTGACCTGAGTTTTTCCAGTGAGCTCATCTGTTAACGGCCTTACCCCCTAAGGTCACATTAGCTTCATCTGAACACTTTTAAACTAGGGATGTCTGGACCCATCGAGGAGAGCAATTGAGTCAGGCTAAGGAGAGAATCTGGGACATGAGTGCCCTTACAAGCCTCAAGAAGAAGTGATCTGTGAGTCCATGTCCGATACAGTCCCCACTTCCCTTACTAGAGGACCCACATGAAGCCTGAGCTGCCCACATGCTACATCTTTGTAGAGGAACTAAGTCCAGTTCATGCACGGTTCTTGGTTGGTGCTTCAGTCTCAGCACGCCCTTCTGGGCCCTGGGTAGTTGGCTCTGTTGGTCTTCTTGTGGAATTCCTGTCACCTCCAGGTCCTTTTCTCTTTCCTCCCACTTTTCCACAAGACTCCCTATGTATTGCTTAATGTTTGGCTGTGTGTCTGTTTTGAGGCCCTGCTGGGTAGAGTCTCTCAGAGGACAACTGTCAGGCTCCTGGCTGCAAGCTTAGCAGAGTTTCATTCACAGTGTCAGTGATTGGTACTCTGATAGGGCGGGTCTTTGTTTGGGTCAGGCATTGGTTGGGCATTCCCTCAATCTCTGCTCTATCTGCTCTATCTTTATTCCTGCACATCTTGCAGGCAGGGTAAATTTGGAGTCAAAGTTTTGGTGTCCCCCTCCCCTCTTCTAGGAGACTAGTCTAGCTTTTTGATCACTTCCCCCTGCCAAGACTGCCTTGCCACAAGGGAAGAGGACATGCTCAATCCTGGTGCAACTTGATGGCCTGGGGTAGATGGGAAAGGGATCTCCCTTTTTCTGAGAAAAAGTGGAGGGGATAAGGGAGGAAGGAAAAATGAGACTGGGAGGAGAGGAGGAATGGGGCTACAAAAAGGATGTAAAGTGAATTTAAAAAAAAAAAGTCTCAGGAGAAGTTTACATAGACAATATTGGAGCCTCACTAATTCTGTCCTTAGACCTAGGACCTACCTAGACATCTTTCTCTTCAGTCCCCCAAGTAATTCCTGTTTCAGAGCTCGTTACTTGCCTTGCTGAGACTTATTAGGACAGGGTGAGATAGATGAGACACAACAGTGGGTGTTACATCATGGGACCACATAAATAGCATTTTGATGTAGTCTGTTACAAAGTCAAAATTAGTGCCAAAATATGTCACGATGAGTAAACTTCCAGAATTTTGTTTTCTTGCACCAGGTGGACCTCTGGTGAGGTCAGCAGATATGACCTGCACCTTCCTCTCCTCCACTTGCCCAGGCATTGTTTGTGACTCATAGAGGGAAAAGTAGAAAAACTCTTTAAAATATCCTCACAGGCAAGAACTTTTAGATCAGGGCCCAGGAAACAATGTTCACAATTTACAAATGGCATTTCATGAAACTGAAAAGTTTCTGCACAGTTTCTGAAGGAGACAAGTGTAGAGACAGCTACAGAATAGCTCTTTCCTAACCTCGCATCTACTGGAGAACTACTATTTAGAATATACAAAGAACTCAAAAACTGAAAAAGAAATCAAACAATCCAGTCACTACATGGGCTAATGAAATGAACACAGAGAGTTCCCAAGATGAAATATAAATGGCCAGTAAACCTGAAAAAAAATGTCCAATCTCACTAGACATCAGAGAAAAGCAAATTCAGACTTCTTTTAAATTCCATCTCAACTCAGAATGTCATTAAGACAATAAACAACAAGTTGGGTGTGGTGGCCCACACCTTTAGAACTAACACTCAAGAAGCAGAGGCAGAGGCAGGTGGATCTCTGTGAGTTCAAGGCCAGCCTGATCCACATAGTGAGATCCAGGATAACCAGGGCTACATAGAGAGACCCTGTCTCAAGAAAGAAAGAAAGGAAGGGAGAACAAGGGAGGGGTAAAGGGAGGGAGGAAGGGAGGGATGGAGAGAGAGGGGAAAGGAGGGAAAAAAGAAAGGAGGGAGGAAGGGAAAATAAAAACAAATGCCAGAGAGGATACATGCAGGCAAGGGACCCTCATACACTGTTGGTGAGAATGTAATCTAGTCTGGCTACTAGTTAAAGCCAGATTTTCTAGATGACCTATCTGTAGCACCCCTGGGTATTTGGCAGAGACACTTACACATCAGTGCTGACTGCAGCATATGTACAATGTGTAAGCTTTGAAGTCAACCTGGGTGTCCTTTGGGCCTGCCAGTTGATTCAAGGTACAATATAATGGTACAGAGAAATGAATAAGGAAAATGAGCTATATATACATGGAGGAATTTGAAGTTATGTTGATTGCAGGGAAATGGGTTCAACAGGAGATAATTATACTAGCTCAATCTCAGAAAGGTAGATGTCATCCATTTTCTCTCCTTGGTGGGTGCCAGGTTTTATACAGATTTATAAAATCGTATGTGTATAAATGAAATTAGAGGTAAAATTGTCTAGGGAACATACGAGACCAATGAGAGGGGTGAGAAGGCAGAAGACAGTGGTATACAGAGGGGGTACTCTCAAAGTATATCATATAGTTGTATAAAATGGCCTCATGTGATACAATATAATTAAATAAAAACTAAAAATGTTTAGACTAAGCTCCTGCTTTCAGTTTGTACTCTGTCCCCTTTAGTTTCTGTTTCCATGTGAATTCTTTGTTCATTGTGGAGTTTTGCTCCTAGTCTTTTTTAAAGCATTTATCTATTTTTGCATTATGTGTATGAATGTGGGAGGGGGCAATTGCAAGAATCTGCGAAGTGTGGAAGTCAGAAGAGGGTGGTGTCAGGCCTCCTGAAGCTGGTATTACAAGCATTCATGGGCTGCTGGTTATACACTGGTCCTCTGCAAGAGAACTGAGCGCTCCTAACCTCTGACCATCTCTCTCTTAGTCTTGTTTTGCAGTGTAATGTTGTTTTTCTTAGTGGCTGAGTATCCAGAGTCCCTTGTTTTGCAGTCCAGGCCTTCCTCACCTCACCCAGATCTCCAGCTGTGCGGCATTGGCTCCTCCCATCCCTTGGTCCTCAAATTTCACTTTCTTGGAGAGACTGATTAGCAGCACTGAGGTGCTGTGAGTCCACATTATCCTATCTGAAACCACCTGCTCTCCCATTTGTGTTCTGAAAGGTCCAGAGTCCTACTTTGACTGGCAGGCAATGGAAGCAGGGACTGAGTCTTGTTCTCTAGACTCTGGGAATCCACTGATAGAAACAGCACAAGTTTCCCCTAGGCTATTGATGTTTCCATTTCAGGTGGGATCAGACAGAGACTAAGCAAGGAAACCTGTTGGGGATTAAAATAAAAATGGACCACGTAAGCTTTGTGACAAGTTCTTGCCGCAAAGGTATCAGAAATGGATCCATTGGTCTAGGGTCTGACTTCAGAGTGGTAGGGAAAATCTTTAGGTAAATGTTCCCTTTCCTCTACCCAACACTCCCCATATGCTCCCTCTTGCTCTTTAAAATATGTGACCTCTTTTTTCATTAGTTGTTGCTACATACATATAGGTATGTATACATATTTATATATAGATTCCTAAATACATACATATAAATAGTCTGTATAGTGCTTCTTGTATGTATGTTTTCAGGACTGACTATTTGGTATTGGATGATAACAAAATACATGCTAACCTAGACTGAAGAAAACTTACAAAGCCTCAACCCTACACGAAGGACTACAGGCAACTGAAGAATGCCGAGAGCAGGAGAAATAGTCCTCCCCAAGAAAGAGAACATTGCTTGGCTGTTTAATATCAAATGGTCAGCCCTGAAACATATTTTTAAAGATCTTTTTGGTGTGAAGAGCAGCCAAACTATTGACAATGGACCACTGGGACCACTGTTAGATGCAGGGCTGAAGGGAGTAAGCAAGTGAACATGGATTTGGACCAAGATGATTCAGAAGAGCTAAGAGCATTGAGCGGGTTTGGGACTACTGTAGAACAAAAAGGAATGGGAGTTTGGGGTTGCACCTAATTTTTTGGAAGCCCCACTAGCCCATCACCATCCCTACATCAATAGAGACTGTGCATTGTAGAGAACATTGTTATGGACACAACAACCCCATTGGCTGACAGGACCTTCAGTCTTAATCTGCTTGTCCAGAAAGGAGATCCAATGGCTGCTTGCTTTGACTGCCTCCCAAGATATCATCATGGAAAGTGTCTGGGGTTGTGGAGGTTGTGAAGCCCCCTTTTTTCTGTACTACAGGGGTGTTTCTTACCCAGACTACCAAACACTTCAACCCCTCCATGGAAGGAGATGCCTCTCCGGGGCTTGGAGGAGACTGTCTTAGGCTGAAAGAGCCTCACAGGGATTGTGCCAAAATGCAGGTCTTTCACAAACACACCAAGGTTCTTCTTCGACACAACACTGTCTTGTACAAAGCGGGGAAAGTGGGACATGGAGCAAACGTTCATGTTCTCGAGTATGTTCCCCTGTGGGAAAGAGAGAACAGCTGGAGACTTTTGAGGCCCCTCCATCCTTTCCACTCTTCAGACGCTGCCCACATAGCTGCCCATATTAACTTCAGACTGCATAAAGCTTTCTCTTGCATGTGGTAAAAATGGGTTTCTCCCAAGATGCGTGAATACCCGAAGCTGTTTATGAAGGTCTGGGGCATGGGAGATTTGAACAATATGGAAAGAAGAGCCACAATTCTGGTGGCCTTTGTGGAAAAGACCTGTGACTCAATGGCTTGGTTCTATGTCAGTCTCAGCTCATTCTACCATGCTGTATCTGATTTTCCCAGAACAGTAGAGCTTTTGTTTATAGCTTTGCCCATTGCTTCAAAGAGTGCAAGGAAAGCCACTCTTTCAGATCCCAGGTCCTCATGACTCTGATACTCTGTACTCTGGAGTCCACAGCAAGCCTAGGCTTGGTACAGAACTATCACAGACTCGAGGCCCCTCTGCACAGTCTTTGCAGATATGATGTCTGTGTCCAGCTCTCACTGCTTCCCCAAACTTTGGACCTCAGGGAAATTGGTTATATTCTTCCTTGCAGGTCCTTCATCCACAAAGCAGGGAGCAATTAGCATCTGTTTGAGGCTTGTCTGAATGGACTAAAGGGGGTATGTTTTGGAAATCAGCACAGAATAAGCTTTTAAAGGCTGGCTGCCTTTTCCCTGATTTCCAGAGCATCAGCCATGTTCTTGGCAGTCTCTAGTCTTTAATGTGGGCTCTGTTGCCTGCTTTTCAATCACTTCCCCCTGGTGGGGTTGCCTTGTCAGGCCACAGTGAAAGAAGATGCACTCAGTTGATGCGACTTGATGTACTGGGATGGGCGGGGGAGGGCAGAACTTCCCTAATCTGAGGTATAGGGGAGGGGGCTAGGAGGAAGAGGAAGAAAGGCCTCTATGATTGGAATATAAAGTGAATAAATAAATAAAATTTAAAAATGGTTCAGAGATTATCTGCTTTATGAACATGCATACCTCTATTTTATTTATTTATTTATTTATTTATTTATTTATTTATTTATTTTTAAAGAAAGAAGGGCTAACTGGCTCAGCGGTTAAGTGCATTTGCTGCTTTTGCAGAAGACAGGAGTTCTCTTTCCAATATCCGTGTGTCAGTTCATAGCCATCCTTACCTACAGTTCCAGGGAATCCAATGTATCTACATACATACAGGCAAACATGGGTATAAATAACAGTTTTTAAAATCATTATGAAAATACATGTGTTTTCATATCCCAAATAGCCTCCAGAGCTTCCCAGAGCAACCTTGGATCTGACTCCCATTTGTTATCCTAGGACCTGACTTTGGATGTCTAACTAAAGGCTTGAGCTTAGGAAAAACTCCCTTTGGTTCACCTTTTCTTTTTATCGTCCCCCTCCTTTTCCTACCTCTCTTTCCTGAAAATGACCCTTTAATATTGTAAGCTTGTCACAGCCCAAGGGTAGCCAAATTGGGGGTAGGGGGTGTCTCCTAACCCAACTGAGTCAGCCTGTTACCATTAACCTGACCTCACCAACAAAGAGGCAGGAGATGTCCAAAGATGTGTTGCTATGGAGCACAGAGATGTCACTATTGAGCTTCTTACTGCTTGTCCACATTTATGGAAATAGAATAAGTTAACATTCAAGACAATGTAAAGGCATTTTCTTTCTTCTTTCCTACTCCCTCATGAATAGGGATGATAGAGAATGTTGCTTGTTGCAGCAGTGGACATGGTCAGGGCTTTTAGCCTCCAGTCAGTAGTCCTTCACCTCCCTCTTCTTTCTTTCTTGTCCATGCACCAACTTAACATTTGCTTCTATGAAAACTGGAAGTCAGCTAAGGTTGTAGCTGGGGCAGAAGCCTTCCTTATACTATCTATCTATCTATTTATCTGTCTGTCTATCTATCTACATCTATCTGTCTGTCTATCTACCTGTATATCTATCATCTATCTGTCCACCTTTGTGTGTGTGTGTGTGTGTGTGTGTGTGTGTGTGTATGTATCTCTTGCTCTCTCTGTCAGTCTGCAGTGCTAGATATTAATTCTGAGCCTATGTGTGGCAGCCAATTATTCTACCACTCCTTTCCATGCATAATCCTTCAGATGCTCTTTGTGAAACTCACAATGGCATTTATTATACGCCAGCCACAAGAAAAAGATAAAATCTTATCAAAGAAGAATATGCCTGAATGAAAGCCATCCTCCAAGTTGTACCAGGTCACAGGGACTCCCTGTTCTTCCAAACGCTTCTTGTAGAGCAAGGTGTCATCTCGGAGAATGTCCCAGTTCATGCTGACCAGCAATGCCTCTGGAAGTTGAGCTATGACCTCATCATCAGCTACAAGGGGAGAAATTTCTACCTCCAGACAGTGTTTGACTTCTAGATAGGCAGCCTTGTTAAAAGGACCAGGAAACTCAGGTTGTTGAATGTTCTTCCTGAACCTTTCAGGAATATTGTCAGAGCCAACAAACTTCTTGTATTTCATCCAGATGTCAGGGGGAATAAAAGCTCCTGTCAGTAAGGCATCTCTCCAGGAGCTGTCAATGTTTAAATACCTATAGAGGCAGTTTAAATACAAGTTTCTGGTGAGGAATGGGGTATTTTGGTTCTGTAGATGTGATGGTAACTGTAAATTAACTAACTGAAGTACTGGATAAATCAGGATTTGAGCCCGGATCTGTGGAAGATCTGGTCTGCCCAAGAAGGTCTGGAGGATGACAGCCACAGCTGTACCTCCTATGCTTTCTCCACAGAGCACAACCCTGGAGGGGTCCACCCCATAGGCTTTCAGGTTCTTCAGGAAATGGGTTGAGGCAGCTATACAGTCCTGAAGACCAAAAGGATGTGGGTAGGCAGGAAGCTTTCGGTACCTGGAGAGGAAAAAGAAAAACAGCATACCAGTATGTGTAGGGGTGGGTGGAGTCCACTTGAACCTGGTCCTCTATGCACCTGAGACTGAATGTGGTTACATCCTGAAATGATTGAACAAGTAAGAATAGTTATTCCCCCATTTTCCCTTTGTGTAATTCTGAAGAACTTTCCCAGAGTCAAAACAGCTTGGACTCTCCATGCAGACTCACCTACCTAGAGAGGATCAGGCAGGCCATGAAAGCTAAAGGCTTGGGGCCAGAGACATGAAAGGGCCTGTTTCCAAGCCTTGTGTCCTGACCTGAATTTGCTGGAAGCCACATGGTGGCAGGAGAGAACTCATTCTGGCAAGTTGTCCTCTGACCTTCATATTTACACCACAGCATGTGCACAGCCACATATATATGCAAATAAAAATAGAAAACAAAACACTTGTCATTGAAAGTGGAAAAATCTGACTTGACAAGAGAAAAATGACAATCAAAAGTCTTCCTGGTCTGCCTGCATTTCTACAGAGATGGGGAGCCTAGGTTGATGGCAAGGTTAAGCTGCTTGCATTCAGAAAAGACAGACAAAGGTAAGAAGGAGGAAAAAGAGAGTAGAGGAGGATAAGGAAGAGGAGAGGACTAGGAGGAAAGGAAGGGAGGGGGAAGAGGAGAGGAGGGGAAGGGAGGAAAGTGAGAGGACAAAGGGGAAGGAAATGTAGGGTGCAGGAGGGGGAGGGGAGGGGAAAGAAAGGGAAGCAGGAGGGGGAGAAGGAAGGGGAGAGGAGAGTGGAGGAGAAAGGAGGATGAAGGGGAAGGGAGGGGAGAGGAAGGAGGGGGAAAGGACTAAAGGGAAGGGATGGGAAGGGAGAGGACTGAAGTGAGGGGAGAGGAGGAGGGAAGGGAGGAAAAGAGAGAGGAGAGGAGAGGACTGAGGGGAGGGGTGGAGGAGGGTGCAGATTGGAAAGGAGGGGAAGGGAGGAGAAAAATCTCTCCATACTCAGATTCTCTCAGGCATCTCCTCCCAGGCACTTCCTACTGAGGTCCTTGGACAGAGCAGATCCCCTTCTCTGGCTGAGTCATTTCACCAGCCATTGTATTGCAATGCAGGTTCATGGACCAGATCTCTGCAAGCATCTGGCAAAATGCTACACTGAGCAGTGTTGGAACAGACATTCATGCAGCCCATCTCTGGGTCCAGTTCAAGAGACCTTGGTTGGCTGGGAGGTTTGTGGAGACATGGATTCTAGTGGTGATGTTCATGATCCCACAAGTGGAAATCCACTTCTGCCTTTCTCAAAGTCCTCAGAAAGGTTCAATCCTTATCCCAATGATACAGACACATTGTGCACCAGCCTGGTAGATGTCAAAGCTGAATGTGTTTCTCAAGAGACTTTAAGTTCTTTTTCCTCTCTTCCCAATCTGTGTCCAGCTGAGTGGTTTAGGTTTCTTAGAGGAAACTTCTTAATTGTAATGAGAAGCTGTACCAGCTAGGTATTCATCAACCTGAAACAGCACCTTTTTGAAGGTGGGAACCTCAAGTGAGAAGATGCTCCCTTAAATCAGCTTGTGATTGAGCCTGTGGGACATTTTCTTGATTGGGGAGGCCTCAGCCCATTATGGAGGTACCACTCTGGGCTCGTGGCTCTGGGTGCTATGAGAAAGCAGGCTGAGCAAGACAGTGAGCAGCTCTGGTGCATCAGTTCCTGCCTCCAGGTTCCTGCCCTGTGAGTTCCTGTCCTTACTGCTTTGATAATGAACTGTGATATGAAGTGTGAGCAAAGCAAACCCTTTTCTCCCCAAGTTGCTTTGGTTGTTGTTGTTGTTCATGGTATTTTACTAGCCCTCCATCCACTCAAATGCCTACTGAGTTAGTTGTTTGTTGTTTTTGTTTTGTTTTTTGTTTTGTTTTTTAACATCACCCTCCTAATTGGTCCCTGAAAAGTAGGCCTTCAGTAGGTAGATATTTCCTTTTCACCATGCAATGAACTCTTGAAAAGACATCATTACAGCAAAAAACAGGACCATAAACGTGACCATCAGCCAGTTCAGGATGCCTTTACCATTTTTGTTCTTGGCTCTAATAGAGTGAAGAGATACCCTAAATCCTGGACTCATCATAACTTGTGTTCTCTTTCTACATAGCTTTATTTGTGTCTAAATGTTTCTAGAAATCATTCCCAAGGGCCTGAGGGTGCCCTGCATTGATATAATGCTTACCTAGGACACAGCACTGCATACACAGGGTGTGGGGGCCCCCCTATAATCCCAGCACTCAGGAGCAGACGTTCGAGCTTATATAGCTATCATACATAATATGTGAGACATACTATACATTATGGAGTTAGAGGCAAGGCTAGAAAAAGAAAGGAAGGAGGGAGGAAAGGAGGGAAGAAAAAAATAAATCTCTTGATTACGACGGTTTTTAAAGAAATTACAAAGCTTTAGGAGGAATAAAGAGAATGAATAAAAACTAAGTAAAATGACATATGAATGTGAAAACACCGTGATGAAACCCATTGATCTGCACATTAAATTTAAAAGTCAGCTTAAGCACTAGAGAGATGGTTTAGCGGGTGAGAGCACTTTCTGGTCTTGCAGAAGAATAGAGTTCAGGTTCCAGCACCTACAAGACAGCTCACAAACCACATTTAACTCCAGCTCCAGTGGGCTCTGACACCATCCCCTGGTCTCTATGGGATCTGGAGTCCGTGTATGGATCACATTAACTCATACAGAACATGCACATACAAATGCTTTTTAAACATAATTTATTTTTATTTTATGTTCATTTGTATTTTTCCTGCATGTGTGTCTGTGTGAGGATGGTAGAAGTCCTGGAAGTGTCCAGTTATGTACATGACTGAGATTGTGCCTTTGAGAGGTTACAACTGTGAGTCTTCAGTGTTCCCACTGGGTCACAGCAAGGGAGCAGGACCATCACAGACTAAATCCTCTGAAACCAGAACTAAACCACACCTCTTCCCTCAAGGCATTTCTCACTGATTTATCATCGATTAAAAAAAAACAAAAAACAAAAAACAAAAAAAAAAAAACCTAACACAAATTAATACCAGAGACATGGAGTCTTTGCCATGGCTACATCCTGGCATGGCTTACAAAACCTTAGGAGATGGTTGTTGGAGGCATTTAGAAATTATTTAGAGATGTGGCTTGGGAAAAAAAAACACCAAAATTGTGCAAGTAGAGCTAAACCAGAGACTATGGAAAGAATTCCAGAGACAGGACTGTTTGTAGCAATGAAGACAGGAAGGAAAGGTCCTCATGAGACTTTCAGTGGAGACAAGGACTGTTAGTAAGCTGGAGGTTCTTTGTGTAGCCAAAAGATTCTTTCTCTTTTGCCCATGTCCTGGTACTTTGTGGGAGGTTGAATTTAAAGGTGATGGACTTATCAGATGGAGGAAGTTTGAAGTTACGACAGCATGATTACTGCTGGCTTCTTTTAGCTACAGTTATAGTTAGAATTTGAAACCAACCAACCAACCAACCAAACAAACAAACAAACAAAAAGTTAAAACAGTTTTTTTTGGGGAAAAAGCATAGTTTGGTCTAAACAGAGCTTACTGAAAACTGTGAACACAGAGGGTGTTGTTAAAGAGAGCAGCATTGTTAAAAATAAATTCAGGAATAAGAAAAATAAAATTAAAAAAAATAAATTCAGTGTGGACAATGGGAATCCACACCACGTGCTGCAGGTGTAAAACCAAAACTCACCTGAAAGACACTCCCTCTAGAAGAGAGCTCCACCAAGCGCCCTTCTCGAAAGGGCCAGGTAAGGTTTTCTCAGGTACAATTAACTATTTTCACTCACCAAGATACTCAGGCAACTGCATTCATGTCTCAGCCACTGTTTGTTCTGAAGAGCTTTGGCACCTTCCATAACTCCTGTGTGCATGATTCAGTGGTTTCAGGGTTTCAAAGGGCTTCCACAGAAATTTCAGAGGAAATTCTGGGAGGTCAGGTGATGTATGGGAGAGTTGGGCTTCCTGTGCGAAGCTTCTTCTGAAAGGGTACTGTCTAAAGGTACCATAGTAAAGCCTAAGCTGTGATGGAGATCCAAAGGAGGTGGTCATGGCAGGGATGTGGCATGACTATGGCAGAAAACTGCAGAGAATAAATAGAGGTGCCCCAACAGAGGGGCTCACAGGACTTCTGCTGACACAGATACACAAACAGGGCTGCGGAAACCCAGTGGAATTCACATCATGCCACCAGGTGGCACAGATGCTGAGCAAGGAGCTACAGGATTTATCCTTTGCCTGACTGTGTTCCAGTCTTACTTTGAATCCATTTCTCCTTCCTCTGCTCCTACTTCCTCCCTATTGGAGTGAGAGGGTTTGCACTGTGCTGTTGTACATCAGAAGCATAGACCTGGAATTTAACATTTTATAGAGTTCTGAAGCTAAGAATTTGGCCTGGTTTTCAGAGAAGACTTTATACACAAACTTTTGAATAGTGCTGGAACTATTAGAAATCTGTGGACTCTTGAGCATGGTGTGGATGTCTTTTACATTGTGAGATACCCAACATAAGTCTTTGGTACCCAAAGGAGAAAGGTCACCTTTTTCAAGGCTTGGTCCTCTGCCAGCAGGTCCAATGATTGAGAAGGCTTTGACTGCATTGATGGATGAATTCACTGATGGGCTTAGAGTTTAATGTCTTTGTTGGTAAATGGTTGGGGTGCCTCACTGAGCTTGTAGCTTGAAGAGAACCATGTTCTTAACTACTCCAGTCTCTCTCTCTCTCTCTCTCTCTCTCTCTCTCTCTCTCTCTCTCTGCTTCCTGATCACCATGGGGTGATCAGCTACACTCTACCAAGCGCTTCTGCTGGCATGAAGCTTCACCTCACCACAGACCCATAGCAATGGAGCAAGCAGAACGTAGACTGAAACCTTTGAATCCAGGAGTCCTTTCAGTTTTATCTTTCAGCTAGAAGTCATTGCAATGAAGAACAAGATGAAGAAGAAGAAGAAGAAGAAGAAGAAGAAGAAGAAGAAGAAGAAGAAGAAGAAGAAGAAGAAGAAGAAGAAGAAGAAGAAGCAACTAAGTGTCCCAGGCTACTCACCCCACTGCCAGAACGACTGAATCTGTCTCCTTGGCCAATAAACTGCATAAGCTGTGGTAGCATTCTGAAAGAGAAGACCAAGTAAAAACTAGCTCACAAGGAGTGTTCACCAATGTCCCAGGATGTCAGCGGCTGTTGTGGCTGTGAAACTGAGGTCTTCTGTCTGTCCCTATTCTTGCCTCCTCTGTAAAGACCTCACCAGCTCTACCTGGGCAAGCTTCTGAGGGTCTGAGCTTGAGCAACAGGGAAACTCAACTTCTGTAGGGTGGGTAAACTGATGGCCAGGAAATAGAAAAATGCCAAAAGTGTGAAGCTAAGATTGAAAACCTGGGAGTATTAATAATTTTGTATATTAGTATTGATTAACTAGGAGATAAGGAATGGTTGAATAGTTCATTTAAAATAAATTTGTAAATTTTTATTTCGGTCTGCATATTATTTCTGTATCTGTGTGAGTGGATGTCATATGGGTGCCTGCAGAGGCCAGAAGAAGATGTCAGATACTCTTGAGGTGGAGCTATGGATGGTTGTGAGCCACCCCTGTGGCTCTGCAGGAAGTAGTCTCTACCACTGACCCATCTCTCTAGCCCCCAAGAATGGTTCCTTCTAATCAGTAGGTGCATCTGAATTTCCAAGAAGTATATCTTTCAGCATTAGAGCATGGTGCATCCTGGACCAGTATATCAAGTGAGTACTCCTCTGGTTTGTTTTTTGTTTGTTTGTTTGTTCGTTTGTTTGTTTTTGAAGACAGGGTTTCTCTGCATAGCCCTGACTGTCTGGAATTCTGTAGACCAGGCTGGCCTTGAACTCAGAGATCTGCCTGCCCCTGCCTCCCAAGGTCTGGGACTAAAGGCATGCACCTGCACTGCTTGACTTCAAGTGCTCCTCTGACTCAGCCCCTCTCGGCCCCAGCCATCTGCATGCAGAAGCACTGGGCAGTCAGTATACATCTTCTGCGCTTGTTGCCTGGACCTGCTGGATCAGCATGATTGTAGCAGGTAGCATAAAACCAGGACTTAAAAAATGATGACTCTGGGGTGGGCATATGTGCAAAATGAAGAAGGGCATGAAAGAGCAGAAACAGAGCCTTAGAAGACACGGCCTCAGCTCTCTGAGCATTCAGCTTCTGTGTCCAGGGTTCTTTACAAACAGATTCAGCCTGCTGGCAACGTTTTACAGTAAGGATGCCTGGCCTGATCCCAGAGGGGGCTTGA